GGATCCCTCCTGTGTAGGAGGGGTTAGCGAGTTGATTTCGCTGGTGCGCGCTAAGGAGTTAGCGCAGGCCGCGATCGCGGCTGCCGCTGCAGAGCGTGCTGAGCAGAGACCCCGGGTACCCGAGGGAGGGGACGCCGTGGTGATCTCTGTGCCCGAAGAGGGGGGACAGGCAACAGGGGTTGCTCCCTCTCCCACGACTTGCAAGGGCAAGACGAGGCGAGTGGCTAAAGCGGTCACCTCCAGGGGTGTCCGGCTCCGGAATCGCGTGATCTAGATGCGAGCTTTGTTCTGGAATATCCGTGGCTTCGGTCATGTGGGGCGGCGTACCCAACTTAAAGAGTACATGCGCAAAGAGGACATAGATATCGTAGGGCTTCAAGAGACGATTAAGGCAGATTTTCGTTTTCATGAACTGCTTGCGATCGACCCCTTGGAGCGCTTCGAGTGGCAGCACGCCCCTGCTGTAGGGCACTCAGGTGGCATGCTGCTGGGCTTGAGCTGAGCCCTGTACGAGGTTATTGACTGGGACGTAGGCTCGTTTTATATCGCGGCTCATTTCCGTATTCGTGCCTCGCTTCGCGAGTTAGCAATCATACAAGTCTACGGACCGACCGATCACTCTCGTTCGGCGGAGTTCTTGGCGGAACTCCAGGCCAAAGTCACCACGATGTCCGCGGCCACGCTCCCTGTTTTGGTGGGTGGAGATTTCAACCTTATCCGATCAGGAGCCGACAAGAACAACATCAATATAAACTGGCCTAGGGTGACCATGTTTAACTCCGCCATTGCTGCCATGGCCCTAAGGGAGGTGACCAGGTCAGGCGCGAGGTTCACTTGGACTAATAAACAACTCGATCCGGTGCGCTCAGTGCTGGATAGGGTGTTCATGTCGCCGGAATGGGAAATGGGCTTCCCTCTCTGTACATTGGTCGCAGAGACACGCATAGGTTCTGACCATGTACCGCTCGTATATGCCTCGGGGGAGGACAGGGTGCGACACAGCCCGCGCTTCTTCTTTGAAACAGCCTGGTTCGAAGTGCCAGGCTTCGAGGAGTTTTTCAGGGCGAAATGGCGGGCATGCGTTGATTCATTAGGAACCCAGAGAGGCCCGATGGAATTTTGGAACACGGTGGGGGGCCGGATCAGGGCTAGCCTCAAGGGATGGGGCGCAAACTTAGGGAGGTCTGACAAAGAGTGCCGCGCCGAGATCCTTGCGGAAATCGCAAGGATTGATGCACTGGCTGATGCTAGGGCCTTCTCAGAGCAGGAATGGGCCCATCGCTACGCCCTGGAGGGCTAGGTAGAAGCGTCCCTGCGCGCGGAGGAAGAATACTGGCGTAGACGAAGTGGTCTGAAGTGGGTTCTGAAGGGCGACGCCAATACTAAGTATTTCCAGGCTTATGCTAACGGACGTCGTCAGAAATGTTCCATCTTAAGGTTGCAATCAGAGCAGGGGCTTCTGTTGCGACAGGAGGACATCTCCAGACACATTTACGAGTTCTACATCAATTTGATGGGCTCGTGCGAGGCCCAGGGGGCGGGGCTCCGCGAAGACGTTTGGGAGGATTCGCAACGTGTGTTGGACTGTGAAAACGAAGCGCTAGGGCTTGCCTTTCTGTCAAAGAGATCGACGCCGCTCTCCTCAGTATGAAAGTGGACACGGCGCCAGGACCAGACGGTTGGCCGATGGCGATGTTCAAGCGCTTCTGGCCTTTGCTTAGGGGCCCCATTTTCGAGATCTGCAACGGTTTCATAAGGGGGATGGTTGACATCTCGTGCCTCAACTATGGCGTCTTAACGCTCATCCCGAAGGTCCAAGGGGCAGACAATATTAGACAATTCCGACCGGTCGCGCTCATTAACGTGCCTTTTAAAATCTGTGCAAAAGCGTGCGCCAATAGACTAGGTCCGATAGCTCATCGCTCGATTAATCAAAACCAATCTGCTTTCATCCGAGGACGCAACATTTTAGAGGGACCGCTCGCCCTGCAAGAGATCGTTCATGAACTAAAGCGCACTAAGGAAGCGGCGGTGCTGCTGAAACTCGATTTTGAGAAGGCATACGACCGTGTGAATTGGGAATTCTTGCGGCAAGTGCTTATTGGAAGAGGCTTTTCTGACGTTTGGGTCCACCGTATTTTGCAGTTGGTGTCGGGAGGCCAAACTGCAGTCTCGGTGAACGGAGAAATAGGGCATTTCTTCCGGAACAAACGCGGGCTCGGGCAGGGTGATCCGATCTCACCTCTCCTTTTCAACTTCGTGGTGGACGCTCTGTCCACAATGCTTCGGAAAGCAGCCGAAGCAGGCCATATCCAAGGGTTGGTAGGCCACCTCATTCCAGGGGAAGTGACGCATCTGCAATATGCAGATGACACGCTGCTTTTGTTTTGCCCTGACCACCACAGCATTGCGTCGGTCAAAGCGATTCTAATTTGTTTTGAGCTCATGTCAGGGCTTAAAATAAATTTTCATAAATGCGAGGTGCTCACGATGGGGGTTGAGCCGGAGGAAGGTAAACATATAGCGGATTTACTCAACTGCAAGGTGGGTAAATTCCCGCTGACATACCTAGGCCTTCCAGTTGACATCAAAAGGCCGACGATAGAGGATTGGGAACCTCTATGTGCTAAGGTGAGGGGTAGGGTGTGCCCTTGGAGGGGTAAATTCCTCTCAAAAGCGGCCAGACTAGTTCTCACGAACT